CATCTATTTTAAAACAAAATAGTTAAATTTGTCCAATTATGTTGACCTGGAAAAGAAAACAAATAGAAAGAAAGAAAAAGGACACTTGTTTAATATTATATGATGCCATTACACTGGTGACTTCACTGCTTGTCTCTGAAATCAAAATGGCTGCTAAGGTACTGCAATCGAAGGTTTCAGATGTCTTGCAAGGCATTCGCTTTAGTGGTAAATCACATAAAATAACATTAAGATTGGGAAATTGTTTGATTAAAGTTAGAATCTATTGTTTACTTTCCTTGAATTTAGCATTTTTTAACAAATTATGCGATTTCCTCAACTTGTGCAATCGAATGCTATTTGAGGTCAATCCAAATGGCACCATCCCTTTATATCAGATGGCCTGCCAAGGCATTTAATTTGTTTTTAACTGAAATTGGACATTCATGTCATGGTCAATTGACAGCTGTCAAAAAATTGTATATCCACTGACGAGTTCCACATTACTGTCCATACATGAAGTACCTACCTTAGGTGGTGTGTTTTATATAAAGTCCTCCTCTGACTAGTTATTGATTTCCAATTGATTGCAGGCTCAGGTTCATGTTTTCAGGGGGAATTCAGTTTGCTTATTACTAAAGGCAAAAGTTAAATAAAAGAAAGAAAGATTTTAAAAGATCCCATGAGAGTTGAGCTTTTTCAACTTGGCTAAATCTAAATTAATCAGTTGTTGTTACTCAGTCTTGGGACTTGAAGGGTTAATATGTTTAGTTGTAGTTTTATGATGTCTTGTAACATTTAAGCACTGAATGTCTGTGAATTATTTCTTTCAGATCCATAATGACAGGTTCCTACAATAATTTCTTCCACATCTTTGACCGAAGCGATAAACAAGATATTTGCTTAGAAGCATCGCCAGAGTTCAGCAAGCCTCGGCAGATCCTTAAGCCTCGTCGTGTAGCTGTTACAGGGAAAAGAAAGAAAGATGATATCACAGTAGAATGTTTGGACTTTAGTCATAAGATACTTCACACTGCTTGGCATCCGCAAGAGAACATTATTGCTGTTGCTGCAACAAATAATTTGTACCTATTCCAAGAGGCCCGAACATAACTGACTCCCCCCCCCCCCCCCCCCCCCCCCCCCCCCCCCCCCCC